CGCCATAATGACGCATGATGAAACAATGTCATTTCAAACTGATGTAATGGTCAGGTGTGGCTCTTGAAGCGTCACGCCGCCACCTCGCCAAAAAAAGGGGTCACCTTTTGGCCAATGTACTCAGATTTACCAAAAGTGCAACTGGCAAAGTTCGCCCGATGTGCTCGCCCAAAGGCAACCCCGACGGGCGGAGGGACTAACTGTATAGGTCAAAATCTGATCAAAAGAATTCTACTTAAGGAGGAATGACTAAGAGTCGACCAAGTCGAAGTCATTATAGTAAGCAATATACCGGCGAGTGATTTAGCTACGGACGAGGTTGAGCATTCAATTCATTCCGAACGGTTAAGCTTAACATTTAGACATTTTAGAGGAATATCCTGTGGGATATTCCAAGAACTTAGGTGTCCCGGTTAAGGACCGCTGAGTAAGGAAAGTATTTTGTTTAAATATCATGAGAGAGAATAACAAAAGGGGAGGAGGGGCTGATGGAAACACTGAGATACATATGCATCCCTCTTAAAGAGGGGAGGGTTTTTCCTCCCAAGCTCTTCGCCAAAAGGAGGATAAATCCCAAGATCTTGGCTTTTTATTTGTGGTTCAACTTTATCGAATGTATGGAGGTCTATCTAGTTCATGAATGGTGATTATTTTTCCTCTGTATACTTATTATTATCATTTGATATTATTGAAGCCATCTTCCTTTTCTTATATTATGGAATCCAATCGTGACTATAATCAAACTTTACGTCTAATCATGCTTGTTTATTCTTGTCTTCCATCTCAGATCTAAAATAAGCTATCTCTAGCTAGAATTTATCCCGATTCTATTTATTAAATTGGTTTAACAAAAAGGGCTTTAAACTTTTTGGTCAAACATGTATATATCAGCGAGTGCCTCATGTAGATCCATTAAATTTATAATCTCTTTTGGAAATAAAACAAGAGCCGCCAACAACAATGATACACTGAATTACAAATGTTGGTTCAACGGGATTGACAAAATTTGTACTTGCAAGAAGACCATTAGTTGTTGCCTCTCTTTTTTTGAGGCAGCATTGCAACTACAATGCATTCTTTTCAGCCATGGCCATATCGTGATACATTGACATTCTTATCATGAGTCTTTTTCGTTATGCGAGGATGTTTTCTTTTTTGTTGAGGATCCATTGATGGAGAAATTTAACTTTATAAAAGTATCAGAACTCCATTCACTACCTACAATAAAATGATCACTCTTTTTCATCAGGTAGAAACAAAGACAAAGACATGATACAAGAACACAGAATGCATGTCAAAAATTTATAACAGGTGCTACCATTTCTCATATATTATTTTTTACAAATATTTAAAAGGAAACAAAAGATAACATGCAATTTCAGTTTTTCTCCAGTAAAATCTAAGGAAAAACTTAAAGGTTAATACAGATCTTGAATAGCCAATTTGCCATCTGCTCTAAACTAAAGCCCATAGGTTTTTACAGTAAGAAATTTACAGAGATGATGTAGTAAGGCCAATGAAGATGAAGTTGTATAAAATTCCCGAAGCAATCGCAGTCAACAATTTATCCAACTTGAACAATTTCTAGCCGGCAACGATTTTGAAAATAAGGAAAAGAAGAAACCAAAACTCACCTTATAACCATACAACCAACTTATAAGACTGAAAGGGATGAAGGAAACTAAAAGAGGAGGTGACCAACTATGAAAATCTGCAGGAAGAACATTAGAGAGGCTAGACGGTCGTTTTGAGTGTTGTAAGACGTGTCAAAAATTTGGAAAAACAGTGTTAGCACGACGATCAAGGTGATTCAGATAATGACTATTAAGGCGATTCCGATAATGATGATGCAAGCAGTGAGAGAGACCAGAATATCGATGGAAAAGTCCATGACAAATAACATTCTCAAAAAATCCGTGACAAACAAAGTTCTCAGAAAGCTCATTATAGTCAAGAGGATGATAGAAGAAGTTCAGATTATGGATACAGTAGGGCATCCAATGGAAAATAATGTTAATGAGTCTTGCAACAACATGGATTCAAATTCAAGTCACAAATAGAGAACTTGGTTTGAGTACAAAATGAAGATCCAAGGGAGCAATTGCTAACATAAATTGCAGAAGTAAAAGCATCATGGAATCAAGTAATGTAAGTATTGATTTCGTTAAGGCAACAAAGCAACATAAATTCGAAAATTGGAAGTTTTGGTGCATATTCAAGTCACAGCACAAGGAGGAGTCATAACGTTAAACGGTTAAAGTAATAGTTCAAATCATCACCAGAATATATAATTAAAAATATTTAATTGTACCTTGTAATTAAACTTATTTCATATGTCATATTTCCATCTTGAAAAACTAATACATGTTGGCTATTATTAGTGTTTATTTGAGTGAGCTTTTTAAATAAAATGTTTCAGTATCAAAATATAGCAGCTTGTGTGTGGAAATTTCAAGCCAATAAGCCACAAGCTCAAAAAACATCCATGTATCATTATATTATGACTTGAATGAGCTCATAAATTTTACAGTAGTAGTACTATTTCATAGTAAAAAATCTACTATTGTTCCTAAAGTAGCAGTTCTTTCCGGTTCTATTATTGCTTCTATATTAAATATAGTGCGCGCTCTTAACTACCAACATCCTCAAACAATATTCTCAGTAGCTTATCACATCACCGCAATAGAGTAAACTGACACACCCATATAAAATAAATGAATTATAAATTGAGATTTAATATCCGATTTCACTTCAGTTCCATTGTACTGTCTAACACTATATTTCTTCGGAACTTTTGTGGGAGATGTGCACAGATAGCCATTAATAGCACATGTCTTTATTTTAAGCCACTGTTTTAAATGTCTTTAGTCTTTCGCCACTGCTTAAATAAAATTTTACCCGTCTGGACGAAAATACCCTTCTGTTATAAGCTTATACCTACGCTCCTTATTAACGATCAGCAGCAGCAGCACGTAACTAAATTCCGAAGCAGCAGCAGAGACTGTGATCGTCCAAAATTGCAGAAGCTTCTCTTCCAATTTTAAACTATTGAATTCAACTTTCTCATCCAAAAATCGACATAAAATTACAGTAAGTTATGCATTTGTGTGTTTCTGTTGATTTTTATTTCTTTACTAGGAATTTGATGCTAGGAATTTGATTTTTTTTTTTTTTTTTTTTGCTTTTCTGGATTAATAAAGTTAAGGAGATCGCGTCCTATGATTATTCTATAAATATTGAGGACATAATATTAAGGATTTTGTGCCCTTAACATGAATGTTGTTACTGATATTAAGGACATAATATCCTAATTTTGCAAATTGTATTGAAAAAGTTAGGACAAAATGTCCTTAACTTTTTTGATGTTGTTCCGAATATTAAGGATATAGTGTCCTAGTTTTGCAAATTGTTTTGAAAAAGTTAAGGACACTTGGTCCTTAACTTAGAGTTCCAAGTTCAAAAGTTAAGGACACTTGGTCCTTAACTTAGAGTTCCAAGTTCAAAAGTTAAGGACACTTGGTCCTGAAGTTTGAGTTCCAAGTTCAATAGTTAAGGGCACTTGGTCCTGAAGTTTGGGTTCCAAGTTGAAAAGTTAAGGACACTTGGTCCTGAACTTCAAGTTTCAAGTTCAAAAGTTAATGACACATGGTCCTGAATCTAGACTTACAAATTCAAAAGTTAAGGACAGGCAATCCTTAACTTAGCGTTCCAAGTTTAAAAGTTAAGGACACCTGGTCCTTAACTTTGAATTCCTAGTTCAAAAGTGGAGGACACTTGGTCCTGAAGTTTGAGTTCCAAGTTCAAAAGTTAAGGACACTTGGTCCCGAATTTCAAGTTTCAAGTTCAAAAGTTAAGGACACTAAGGACACATGGTCCTGAACTTCTAGTTTCAAGTTCAAAAGTTAAGGACACTTGGTCCTGAACTTTGACTTACAAGTTCAAAAGTTAAGGACGCTTGGTCCTTAACTTTCAATACCAAGTTCAAAAGTTAAGGACATTTGGTCCTTAACTTTGAATTTCATGTTCAAAAGTTAAGGACACTTGGTCCTTAACTTGGTCTTGAACTTAAAACTCTTGTCCTTGATTATACAAGGATTGCTCTATAAATATGTCCTGAATTTCCCATTCTCTTGACTTGCAGGATGGAAACAATATGTATTATAGTTGCTTTTAATGGTAGATGGACTGCAGACTTTAAGTATCTTGATCATCAAACAAAGCTTGTTCTAGTACCTGAGGCAATTCAATTTGAAGATTTCATTAAACAGGTCTTTGAAGTTATTGAATTGGATAGAGACAAGTTTGAAGCAATGATATGGCTTGATTTCAACCTGGAACAAGCAAGGGAATGCTTGTATCCAAAGATTTAGATTTTTACACATGTATAGAGTTACTAAAAAGTCATTCACTCTTCAAGGGTTGTCGTTTCATTGTTGATGTTTCGGAAAGAATTTTTAGATCTACAAGCACCTTTGAACATGTCAACAGAGAAAGTCAACATGACAATAAAAACAAAAGCCAATAGATAATGAAAATAGATATGGTTGAAGCTCAATGTGCTTCAAACATTTGATTCTATTCAAGTGGAAGGACAAAGCATTATAGAGATTGACAACGAACAAGCTTTGGGTATTTAAGTCGTAGAGAGTGCACCGGTAATAGAAGAGGTTGCTGAAAAAACCTCTACTCAACTAACTCGACAAAGCTCAAATTCGAAAGAAAAAGAATCCCCAACTACGATATTAAGAGAAAATACTTCGTTCGATGAAATAAAAGTGGGATCAATATTTGACAAAAAGAAGAGTATAATTAACTGTTTTTTGAATATAGCAATTAAAGAACATTTTGAATTCAAGGTTGTTAGATCAAGCTCAACAAGATATTCGTTGAAATGCAATTATGATAGGTGTGGGTAGTGTGTGCGTGCTTTCAAAATTAAAGATTCAACACTGTTCAAGATAGTAAATATTGAGAAAAATCATGGCTGCTCAGTTAACACTATGAAAGCTGATCAAAGGCATGCAACTTCAAAGTTGATTAGTGGTTACATTATTGACAATCATCAAGACCCAAGGTTTGAAGTTACACCAGCTTTTGTCATGGCAGAAATGCAAATATTGCATGGATTAGACATTGGGTATCACAGGACGTGGCGTGCTATTCAACGTGCTTCAGCTTTAATAAGAGGAACTCCTGAAGAGAATTATGATTTATTGTCTTCATACTTGTATATGATGAAAAGTAAAAACCCGGGAACATATACTAACATAAAGATAGACGACAACAACAGGTAAACAATCAAAAAAGAGATTATTTGTCTGTTTTATAAACTTTAAGACATGTTATCCTTAGCCAGTAAAAAAGTTAAGGACGTGTTGTCCTTAACTTTGATGTGTGCAGTCAAAAAGTTAAGGACACTTGGTCCTTAAACTTTAGAGTCGTACGTAGTTTAAAACTTACGACGACTACGTGTCCTTAACTTTTGGACTTGTAACCTGTAAGTTCTGNAAAATTAAGGACATGGTGTCCTTAACTTTTGAACTTGTAACTCTAAGTTCAGGACTCCATGTCCTTAACTTTTGATCTTGTAACTCCAAGTAAAGGACTACATGTCCTTAACTTTTTAACTTGTAACTCTAAGTTAAGGACCAAGTGTCCTTAAATTTTGAGCTAGTTAGTTTAACTTCAGGACTACCTGTCCTTAACTTTTGGGCTTGTAACCTGAAGTTCTGGACTACCTGTCCTTATCTTTTGACCTTGTTTGTCTAAGTTAAGGACTACCTGTCCTTAACTTCTGTTAACCTTCTGTTATACTGTATTTTCAGGTTTCTTTATAATTTTATGCACATGGATCATCACTAACTGGTTGGAATCATTGTAGACCAGTGATTGCTGTTGATGCAACTTTTCTGAAGTCAAAGTTTCGTGGTGTTTTAATGATTTCAGTTTCAAAGTATGCAAATAACCAAATTTTCCACTAGCCTTTGGAATTGCAGAATCTGAAAATAACAATTCCTATGAGTGGTACTTTAGTGAGCTTCGCAATGCAATTGGAAGACGTGAGAATTTAACTTTTTTATCAGACAGGCATCAATCTATTGCATATGGCATTGCAAAGGTATATCCTGAAAGCCACCATGGCATTTGTATCTATCATTTGGAGCAGAACCTAAAGCGAAGGAAAGTGAAAACTAATGTCATAAAACTTTTCCAAAGTGCTGCAAGAGTATACTGGCGCAAAGAATTTGATCTATACATGTCAGATTTAGAAAAAGTGGATAAGAAGACTTATGACTACTTGATGGAAGAACCACAGGAAATGTGGGAACGTTCTTGTAGTCCACGACGAAGATATGACATGCTCAAAACAAACATAGTTGAGTCAATAAATTCTGTGCTATTAGAGCAAGGGAGCTGCCTATATTAATTTGGTTCCCGGGTTTTTACTTTTCATCATATACAAGTATGAAGACAATAAATCATAATTCTCTTCAGGAGTTCCTCTTATTAAAGAAGAAACGAAGCAGAAGGAACTTTTTATGACTTTTCTTGTTGGGTAGAAGAGGAATTGAAGAAAAAGATAGATTTAGCATTTACTTTGAACGTAAGTATTATGTTCTTTGTTTAGCTTATTATTTTAATGATAATTTAACATAATGTTGTCACGATCCAAGTTCGCCCTCCATGAACAGTCATGACGGCATCTAGTCCCTACGACTAGGTAAGCCTAACAAATGCGGAAAAGAAACAACTGCAACAAAATAATTTAAAACCGAGATAACAAAATGAAACAGTGTTTAAGATATCGCCCGGTATATAATAGTACAGGAATCTCAATCTAACACTCCCAAAATCCGGAACCCCATGAATCACAAGCTAAGAGTACATAAAAGGCTCTAACTCCAGAAATGTCTATCAACAAGGAGGATACAGAAGGGCTATACTAGTAGAGAAAATAGAAAGGGACTCCTCAGTCAGCGAACGCGGCAGATATACCTCGAAGTCTCTACAGAAGCACCTCACCTAAAGGGTGATTAGACTGATTTGGAAGCACCCAGAACTGCTTTCACAATTTCACAGACTGTTTAGGAATACTACAAATAAAGGTCTGAAAGATTAATACAACACTGTCTCTGGAATACATGAAAGAAAGAGAATGAAAAGATAGAAGGACACACCAAGGCCTGCAGACGACTGCAGGACTACCTCGGGTCGCTTAATGAATTAGAGTAGCAACCTCACTGTGGTCCGAAAGCTACAGTACCGGGATCTGCACAAAAGAGTGCAGAGTGTAGTATCAGCACAACCGACCCCATGTGCTGGTAAGGCCTAGTCTATTCTCGGCGAAGTAGTGACGAGGATAGGACCAGACTACCAAATAAACCCGTGCAGTCAAATCAAATACAACGGAAAATAAAGGCAGAAACTTACAATTTAAAAGTAAGAAGGGGGAAACATGCTGCGGGGAATCAAGTATCAATAGAAAGCATATAAACCATAAAGAACACCGCAACTTAAATATCAACAATAATCAGGAAGTCAAGACATGTGCACGGCATCACGTTTCATGCTTTTTCTCTCGTCCTCACAAAATATCAATATAGTCGGCACAACATCACCCTTCGTACTTTTACCTCACAAAATCAGGGCACGGAATGATCCTTCATGCATAATCACTCATATAAAGGCACGGAATGGAACATCGTGCGGCACGGCATCACCCTTCGTGCATTAACACTCCCTCACAAATATCATGCACGGCATCACCCTTTGTGCTTTAACACTCTCTCACCAATACAATGCACGGCATCAACCTTCGTGCTTTAACACTCTTCCTCACCCAAACAACAATCACAACCAATAAGGGCAAGGAAATAAATGAAATCCCAATAAAATCCCGGTAAGGGGACAATAATACAACAATCAAATCCCGGCAAGGGAAACAATATCAAAAACAACCGCATCCAGGCAAGGGAGATAACATTAAAAGCAACAACATCCCGGCAAGGGAGACAATATCATAATCCTCTTCTCTTTTTCATATTCACTTCACAACTCAATTCACAACTTGAGCCAATGCTCTATAATGTTCAATTGCCAACAATAATTCCACAAATCACTTCACAACTTGAGCCAATGCTCTATAATGTTCAATTTCCAGCAATAATTCCACAAATTACTTCATAACTTGAGCCAACGCTCTTCAATGTTCAATTAGCAAAATTACTTCCACAAGCTTGTTCAATAATAAAAAATGTCACATAAGGCATGGACAATACAAAATGGAGTCATATTAATCATAGCATAAGACTCACGAGCATGCTTGACACCAACGTATAGATACTTGTCACAATGCCTATACGTCGTACTCAACAATTAACACGTAGCAAATAGGACACACTCCTAATCCCTCAAGCTAAGGTTAGACCAAACATTTACCTCGATACCACGAACATAATTCAAGCCTCAACTACCGCTTTACCTCTTGCTTCCACCACCAATTTGCTTGTATCTAGCGACAAGTTACTTAACTATATCAATAAATGCTAAATGAATCAATTCTAATGCATGAAAATAGATTTTTTAAAGTTTTTCCCAAAAAGTCAAAAATCGACCCCGGGCCCACATGGTCAAAACCCGAGGTTCGAACCAAAACCCGATTACCCATTCACCCACGAACTCAAATATATAATTTATTTTCAAATCGGACCTCAAATCGAGGTCCAAATTCCTAAAATTCAAAAATCCTAAGCTCTACCCAAAACACCCAAATTTCCCCATGAAAACCCTTGATTTTGAGTTGAAATCATGTAAAAAGATGGATTAGATTGCAAGAAATGAGTTAGAAATGACTTACAATTGATTGGGAAGAATAGTTGTCTTTGAAAAATCGCCCAAAGGTGTTTAGGTTTTGAGAAGGTTTGAAAAATGGCTGAAAATGCGTCTAAGTGTCAATTAACTGGTCTCTGATGTCGCAATTACGACCAGGGTTTTCCAATTGCGAACCCCTCAGACTGTTCACTTTGCAAATGTGAAGCTTTTGTCGCATTTGCGACCAAGTACTATTCCGGTCACCTTCGCATTTGCGAGGGACCTTTAGCAAATGCGACATCCATTTGCGAAATAAACGTTGCATTTGCAAACAAGGCAGCCCAGGTCAACTTTCGCATTTGCGATACTTGTTCGCATTGCGAGCCAGGCTTCGAATCTGTGGCATACCAGCAAGTAATTTCCTAAGTTCAAATTTCACTCTGTGGCATATCCGAAATTCACCCGAGCCCTCGGGGCTCCAAACCAACATGCACGCAAGTCCAAAAACATCACACGTTCTTGCTCGTGCGATCAAATCATTAAAATAACATCAATAACTATGAATTTAGCATCAAAATCAAAGGAAAATCTCATGAACTCTTAAGTTCAAATCTTAACAACCGAAGGTCCGATTCACGTTATCAAGTCTGTTTCATACCAAATTTTACAGGCTCGACTTAAATACCATATAAGACCTGTACCGGGCTCCGGAACCAAAATACGGGCCCGATACCAACGAATTCAATTACATTCAAATTTCCAAAAACTCTAATAATTTCAGTTAAACAATTTTTTTCAAAAATTCATTTCTCGGGCTTGGGACCTCGAAATTCGATTCGGGGCATACGCCCAAGACCCATTTTTTCCTACTACCCTCTGGGACCCTCAAACCACGGGTCCGGGTCCGGGTCCGTTTACCTAAAATGTTGACCGAAGTCAACCTAAATTCATTTTATAAGAAAAATTTATCATTTTTCACAGATTTTCACATAATGGCCTTCTGGATACACGCCCAGACTGCGCACGCAAATCAAGGTGAGATAAAAAGGAGGTTTTAAGGCCTCGGAACACAGAATTTATTTCTAAAACAAGTGATGACCTTTTGGCATCACATTCTCCACCTCTAAAACAACCGTTCGTCCTCGAACGGACATAAGAAGGAAGTACCTGAGTTGGTGAAAAGATGGGGATATCGGCTCCGCATATCGACTCGGACTCCCAGGTCGATGCCTCAGCATGCTGACCTCTCCACTGAACACGAACAGAAAGGAAACTCTTTGATCTCAATTTACGAACTTGCCGGTCTAGAATGGCTCCCGACTCCTCCTCGTAGGACAAGTCCTTGTCCAACTGGATAGTGCTAAAATCCAACACGTGGGATGGATCGTCGTGATACTTCCGAAGCATGGACACGTGAAATACTGGATGCAGGGCTTATAAGCTCGGCGGCAACGCAATTCTGTAAGCCACCTATCCCACTCGATCAAGAATCTCAAACGGGCCAATGAACCTAGGGCTAAGCTTGCTCTTCTTTCCAAATCTCATCACGCCCTTCATAGGCGACACCCGAAGCAACACTCGCTCGCCGACCATGAATGCCACATCACGAACCTTACGGTTGACATAACTCATTTGCCTGCACTGAGCTGTACGAAGCCTATCCTGAATGATCCTGACCTTGTCCAAGGCATCCTGTACTAGATCCGTACCCAACAACCGAGCCTCTCCCGGCTCAAACCACCCAACCGGCGACCAACACCGCCTACCATATAAAGCCTCATAAGGGGCCATCTGAATGCTCGACTGGTAACTGTTGTTGTAGGCAAACTCCGCTAAAGACAAAAACTGATCCCACGAGCCTCCAAAGTCAATAACACAAGCTCGGAGCCTATTCCCCAAAATCTGAATAGTACGCTCGGACTGCCCGTCCGTTTGAGGATGGAATGCTGTGCTCAACCCAACCTGTGTGCCCAACTCATGCTGAACTGCCCTCCAGAAATGCGAGGTAAACTGCGTATCTCAGCTAACCTCTCAGAAGAATAGGAGACTGCCACAGGAATGAAATGCGCTGACTTGGTCAGCCTATCAACAATAACCCATACTACATCGAACTTCCTCTGAGTCCGTGGGAGTCCAACAACAAAGTTCATAGTGATACGCTCCCACTTCTACTCGGGAAGCTCAATCCTCTAAAACAAACCACCAGGCCTCTGATGCTCGTACTTTACTTGCTGACAATTCAAACACCGAGCCACATACACAACAATATCCTTCTTCATCCTCCTCCACCAATAATGCTACCGCAAATCCTGATACATCTTAGCGGCGCCCGGATGAATAGAGTACCGGGAACTATGGGCCTCCTCTAGAATGAACTCCTGAAGTCCATCTATATTAGGCACACAAATACGACCCTGCATCCTCAAAACTCCATCATGTCCCACTGTGACCTGCTTGGCACCACCGTGCTGCACCGTATCCTTTAGGACACACAAATGGGGATCATCATACTGCCGATCTCGAATGCGCTCCAATAATGAAGAACGACTGACTGTGCCAGCTAACACACGGTTGGGCTCAGAGACATCCAACCTTACGAACTGATTGGCCAAAACC